GCACTCGGGACGGCCCTTTCCGAGAGCCGCACGGAAAGGCCGCTGGCGCGATGAAAAGGTCTAATTCATATTTATACGTGTTTATAAATAGACACGGAGGGGGTGTGGGGTGTGTGCTCAGTCCCGATGAGCTCCCGTTTTACCGGCGGGTTGCGCGGGCTGGGCCTGGATCACCAGGGCGCCCGGATCGACGGCCTTCCCGGAGCCGCTCCGCACCCCGCGGAACCGGGCTGCGGTCTTTATCTGCCCCGGGAGGAGGTTTCCTCCCGGAGTATTCCCGCGGTTTTGCTGATTTTGTGTCCCGTCTCGCTAGCTAAATATTTAAACAAGTCAAGTTATTGAAATTTATGGGAGTACATTGCGCCAAGGAGAAATTCAACTGCCTGCAGTTTCTTGGAATAATCTCACGCGTCTCTCCCACCTTTAAAATAGATTTAAATTTCTATACTTACACGAAATGTGACAATGTCTTGTCAAAAAAAAAAAAAAAAATCCAAAACAACAGCTCACGCCCGCATGTTTTATCTGCGGAAAGCTCCCCCCTTGTCTGGATTTTCTATCAAGTCAGTCCCTAAATTAAAATAAAAATTAAAAAAAAAAAAAACACAACCAAAAACCCCCCAAACCCCAACTTTCCCAAAGTACGAAAAGCCTGAACCTTCCCTTCCTGTGATTTCCTACAATTGCCCGATGTGCCACATAACACAACTCTTTAAAAAGGCAGAACCGGAGAGCCTGAAATCGTGCTTTCCAGTATGGCATCTGATTTAACAGGAGGGAGAAAGACGTTACCAGTTTACCTCGAACAAAGGCACTACGGCTAAAAGAAAGAGGGTTAGGCGACGGTTAAATGTATAAAATTCATTACTGTTCAGTACAAACTCCACGAGCTTATAAATGCGCTTTTAATTTAGAGGATCACGTTAATTATTTGAGTTGGTAGAATGCGGATGGGTTTTCCATCTTGCAGTGATTCAAATTAAATAGCAGGGGAGGAGAAAAGATTAAGGCTAAAAAAATAGCAAAAGCGAAGGTCGCTTAACTTTATGTTTTTGGATAATGACTACGGCGAGGATAAATGAATCTGGAAATGGCACATAATTAGGATGACCCTTATTTGCCCTTAGCCGACTTTCCTCTATTAAATAAGGTGCCAGCAGGGTGACACGTATCTCCCTGTGCCCGCGTGGCCCCGTGGGCGCTGTGTGCCAGCTCCGGGGTGCAGGGACGAGGCGTGGGGACTGTGGAGCCCTGTGTCCGGGTGTGCTGATGCAATGCCCGGGTGCGCACACCTAGGTGCCTGCCTCGCTACCGCACTTCCTTAAAACGGCCCCATCCCGGGCGAGAATCCGAGGGGCTGCTGGCAGTGCTGCTAGACACTGGCTTCTCCCGGGACCCCCACTGCAGAG